GTGTTCAATGGCTTCACCCTGCAGTAAAGGATTATGACTGACATTTTCATAACCAGAGTAGTATCACACTATTAGTGTTCTGCAGTGCAAACCAAAGAGGATGGTGATGCCAATTCTGTGCTTATCTTCATGCAAACCGGGGGGGGGGGCACAATAAGCCCTTGAAAATGGCAACCACTGACATTGGCCAGCCACCCTCGAGTTGGGTAAATCCCTACTGGTCAGTAGTGCCGAGCTAGTACTGTGTGATACAGTGATACATTTGATCATAGTATTGTGTACTGTGATAGGGAATTATAGAAAGATGTAGGCAGATCATAGCATTCTGTGCTACACAGGCAGTTGTTAGAATTATTTACTATAATAGAGTCAGGGCAATGTTCTAATACAAAAAATTAATCAGTAAGAGAGAAAACCACACAAAAATGAAATATGCTAATATGAATTATACACTATGGCCAACATTTCAACACCCCTTTAGGTGGATAAGTAGCATTCATATGGCTTTTGAGATCCTATTCCTCTCGCCTTCCATATGACGCTATCCAACCCAATCATCTCTCCTTTTATCCAGAAATTATTTTATGTAATGCAAAATATAAAAAAAAGAACTGGAAGTAGGAATGGGAACTCAACCCAGAGCACCCTCTCTTCCAGAGCAGCGTCTGTTTCACTGAGTTATACAGGTCCCTCTGGCTTGCTCTTTTTGCAAACCCTTGTATTTTCTGCTCTTGGCTGCTAACTTCAACAGAAAAGAAGAGGAGCACTCTTGATTCTGCCTGGCCCACCGTCTGTCAGCTAATGCACCACCCTAGAAGACAGATATAGCTTCAAACCCCCTCAGGCTGACAGTGGCCTAGAACCTGGGTCTTCCATCTCTTGGCCAGTCCCTTAATCATTAGGCTATTAAATTAAAAAGGTAGGTAGACCCTACTCTTTCTCCCTCGCCCTCCAGTCATTATAGTCACAGGTTTTTTGCACCTAATACTGCAGGAGCACATGTGGGATTATGTGCCTTCCAGGGCAGAACAGGATGACAACAAAATCCAAGTGGCCAAAGTGGATCTGTTTTGACCTAATCTCTTCCAGGTGCTGAGAAGCAGATTCCTTGATGACCAGCTGCATGATCTTTCCAGGTATCAAACTGGAACCACACTGATTGGTCTGTAATTCCTCAGATCCCACTTCTTCCATTTTTCAGCTGGGTGTTATTTTTGCTTTTTTTCAGTCACCCAGATTTCACTTGGCTGCCATGATTCTCAAAGATATTAAGCAAGGGCTCTGAAATTACCTCAGCCAATTCCTAAAGATAATTCTAGTGTGCTGGCACTTCTGACTTGACAACACCCAACTTCTCTAAGTAATCCCTAACCTATTCTTCTGCTACTGTAGGCCAGTAGTGCTCCACCTCCAGCCTCTGGGCCAAATCTGGCCTGCAGGGCTGTGTCATCTGGTCTGTGGGGTTTCCCACCAGTCCAGAAATTTGGCAGTGGGGGAGCGGTTGCAGTATTAATTGTCATGGCTTCCAGAGTGGCAGCAATTAACACTACCACTACTCCCCATCTACCAAATTTCCAGACTTGTAGGAGTTCTGCAGGTGCTGGCTTGTGGCCCTCTGTGCTCATCATAGGGGCATGTGGGCAGTGGATCGATCACAGCTTTGCCAAGGTCTCCCCAGCCCCATCTCACTTCTGGCCACACTCCATCCCAGCCACCCAGCCAGCGGTATGTGCAGGAGGAATGGGTCTGGAAGTAAAAGCCAGAAGGAGCTGCTGCTGCTGGGGCTGCTGAAAAATGGAATCTGCCATGGGCTGGATCCAGCCCGTGGGCTGTATTTTGCCCACACCTGCGTTAAATCCTTCAGCTTTTTCTGTACCATCCATTAGATTGCTCCCTGGAATACAGCAATAGTAATGGACTCACACTTTCCTAAGTCTTCTTTTACTTCTGACATACTTGTAGAGTGTTCTTTTTTTTGCCTTTTACATCCCTGTAGCAAGTGCTCATCCCAGGGGGAGCCGCGATGCCCACTGGCCACTTAGTCCTTGCCTGCTCAGGACTCTCCTTGGGCAATCTCTCCTTCACTTTCCTGCCAGACCTTGATGCTGTTGTATTTGAAGAAAAGGGAGGCTGCCCCAGGGCTTTCCAAGCCTTGTCTCACTCTCATGACCACAAGCATCTGTGGTCATTGTCTTAAGGGCCAATTATGCAGGCTCCATCCTCCCCAATACCCACTCCCATGCCTTGCAGATGATATTCCTTCCTGATGTCCTATGCCCTTCCTGGGCCACGAGCTCCCATCCCTAGTCCTTGCCCCTCCTGAGCCATAGGCTCCTTAGCCCACTTGATTTTTGGCTGCAGTCCCTGACCCTCAGTCTCCTTAGACTCTGGCCCCCCTTAGGCCAGTTGAGAACTTTGGGCTCCCAAGTCCTGCTAAGAACCTGCCACTCCTAAGCTCTAGACTGCTGGGCTCTTTGGGCCGTGCTGACGCTCTGCCCTCTCTATGGGCTATGGGCCCTGGCCCCAGGCCTTGCTCACACTTGCCCTCCCTCTGGGGGCTTGCAGCTCTGCCCTCATTCCCTGGCCTATCTCTTCCAAGGCCTGCCTCTCCAGGGTATAGACTCCTGTTCCCAGGCAGGTTGTGGGCTCACCCGCCCCTGTTCTCAGGCCTGCTTTATGCCTTCCAGGTCTCTATGCAGCTTACCCAACTCAGTTGTTCTGCTAAGAGCCCTGCTGCCAGAAGTTCTTCTTCTTGTGGCTCTCAGGGCTCAACTGCCTGACCAGCTCAGGCCCTAGGCTTATATGGCTCAAGCCTGGTCCCTTTCTGGTCAGGTGTCTCTTTAATTGGTCCCTGCTATACCTGCAGGCTGCTTCTCCTCCAGCCTCTGTCACAGTCCCTCACTAGTTACATCTCAATTCATGTTCTGGCCTTCCTGATTTTCTCCCTGTTTGCCTATGCAATACTTGCATATTTTTCCCTAGTAACATAGTCAAGTTTCCATTTTTGTACAGTTCTTTTTTTAGTTTCAATTTACTGAAAAGTTAACAGTTTAGCCAGGCTCATCTCTTGCTGCATTTCCTAGACTTCTCCTTCAGGGATCATTTGTTCTTGTTCCCTTCACATGGCCTCTTTAAGGTACAACCAGATTTCCTGAGCTCCTTTTCCCCTTCACGCTTGCCTCCCAGAGGATCCTGCCCACCAGTTTCCTGAGTTTGTTGAAGTCTGCTATTCTGAAGCCCAGTGTCTTTATTTTGCTGTTTCCCATCCTTCTCTTCCTTAGAATCTTGACCTCTGTCACCTTCAGATTCTCAACCAATTCCTCTCTTTGATAGCAGCAAAATGAGATGAGCTTCTCTTCCAATTGGACTTTCCAACACCTGTACCAATAAGTTATCCCCAACACACTTCAAAAGCTGGCAGGATTGCCTGTGCGTTGCTGTGTTACTCTCTCAGCCAATATCATCAATGTCCCCCCTAAGAACCAGGTCTTCTGATTTAAAAACTTCCATTAGTCATTTGAAAAAAGTTCTATTCACTTATTCGTCTTTGTTTGGTGGTGTATAGCAGATACTCACCATAATATCTTTCTGGCTGTTCTCCTTTCTTACTTTGACCCAGATGCTTTTAACAGGCCTATCTCCTGTATCATAACTCCCCTCTTTAAAAAGTATACACCTCATTTAATTTGATTAAGAAAATACACTAGCCACAATGATAGAAATGAAACCGCAAAAATAAAACATTCCAAAACTTACCAACATGCCCTCCTCCAATGGTATAAGTCTTTCCAGACCCTGTCTGTCCATAAGCAAAAACTGTTGCATTATATCCTTCAATCAAAGACACCACTAGAGGCTTAATACAAGTTGTATAAACTTCTTCTTGGGTTGATTTTTTGCCAAACACAAAATCAAAAGTGAAGACCCGGTCTTTCCCAATAATAACTTGCTGTGTATTTGGGACTAGTCTCACACACACTTGGTGGTTATGAAGAATTTCTTTGGAAAGCAGAGGTCTTATTCTTACTGCAACTTTAACTGGAATCTCTTCCATGGCAGCTTCTTCAAGGTGCACTTTCTTAACATTCAACACATAACCAGAGAAAATTCTTGTATGGTTTTTGTCTTCACAACATTCTCAATTATCCGCATCTAGGAAACAAAGTTTTCTAAATTACTCACAGAATATAGTTTAGTTTCCCAGTGACAATCCAATTTCAAATATTCTCCAGCTAACTCTTCAAAAGTGGAATGAGATTCTGCTCTGAAAAGTACCTGTAATAAAAGCATACACGGGTCTACTCCTATATTTCTTACCTCCAGTCACTTTAAGCAAAAAATTATTTCTCTCCCAATCTTCAGGCCACCAAACTCAACCTCTAATATGAAAACCAATGACCATCTGTTTGGCTGTGGCATGATTATCACATGAAGTAATAGAGAATATTATTAGATCTTATTAATAAATTAAGTGATCACATAACTCAAACTCACTCCTCATAGTTGGGGGGGAGGGGAAATCTAACTGAAGTGGAAAAAATAAGTCATACATGCATTAAAACTTTCTACCACCTACATAGGGGCAAATAGTTAAATCAGGAACAGCACATAGGAAGTAGATCTGTTGCATACCATAAATAAGTTGATGATTTGATAAATGAATTTTAAACCATGGTCACTTAACGTCATTCTCTGCTTATTCATTCTAATGAGATGCCTCCCCTTTCCCCACCAATTATGGGCTTCAGACAGAGTAGAGCAGGGGTGAGCAAAATACAGCCTGTAGGCCAGATCTGGCCCACCAGTGGATTTTGTCTGGCCCATGGCAGGACCCACAGTTGTGCCCACCCCAGGTGTGAGAGGACAGCCCAAGCCATGGCACATGAGGCCTGTTCTGCTACCCCCGGTCACCTAGCTGGGTTGGGGTGGTGTGGTGGCTAGACTTCATTTCCCAGCAGCCCCAGCAGCTGTGGCTTCTTCTGGCAGCTACAGCTGCCAGACCTAGCTCTGCTGCCAAGGCACCCTAGCCTGTCTGCCTCATACCCACTGCTGGGGGTGGGACCCATGCAAAGACGCTTATCCAGGCAGAGGGGTGTCTGGCACTGAGGCATGAGGGTGAGGCCAGAGTGACCTTGGATCTTGGGGTGGTGACAGTGTAGGGCTGGAACCTGGACCAGAGCCTCAATACACTGCTCACATGCACCTGCGATGGGTGCTGGTTCCACAGGCAGGGGTGTACAGGGAGCAGATCATGGCTCTGCCTCAGCCCTGACCCCACACTATCACTATTGCTGGGTGAGACTGCCAACATCCCAGCTCTAGCCTCAGACACAGTTCTCTCTCCATTTGCCCCCATCCTATCTGCCTCACTACACACCCTGCCTGTGCAGCTCCCAGGCAGTCTCCAGGGAGACCCCAGGATTGCTGTGTGGTGACAGTGCAGGGGCAGGGCAAGGGCCAGAGCCCCAGTTGTGTGGGCATGAGCATGTGTGGAGAGCATTGTGGTTCTGCCCTGGCCCTGCACTGTCACCACCCCACAATTCCGAGGTCTCCAGGAAGCTGCGGACAGGGCCAGGGCCAGGGCCAGGATCTTGAGGTAGTGACAATATGGGGCTGGAGCTGGGGCCAGGCCCAGGCTGCGATCCACTCCCCGCATGCCCCTGCCTGTGGAATACACTTTGGTTGTTGAAGTTTTAAGGGAAGTCATATTACTGAACTATAGCTTTAGGAAATGATAAGCAACTTCTGAAAGGGCTAGCCTCTTCTGCAAGTGTGGAAAGAATATTTCACTTTATTTGGGTTATCTCAGGTCAATAATTCATTCATTCTAAATTGAGAAACAGCTTAGATGAGTTAGAAAAAGCAAAAAGGGTTGTTTTCTTCTTCATTTTTAAAAATAAAACAAGGTGAGAGAGGCTGTGATTTACTAGTTTTAAAGTCATTTAAGATATGGTGACTGGAAACAAACAGTTCAGTTAAATTATTCCTTTGTCTAATAAGTCAATTGAATTGTAGTGCAAAATATGTTTAGATAAACATTCTTCTTATGCACACAGCAGTTTGTTATTAATTGAACAGAAATGTTCTAAAAAGCTGGCTTTCTGCCTTTTTGTTTGCATTCCAATTTTTATTCAGAAACAATCAGAAAAATCAATCTAGTAAATAAGAAAGATCATGTACCATTTCTCCAAATACTGATATCCAAAACTTAGCCTTAATAAATGTGTTACGCCCAAAAATCCCTCTTAAAATGGGTCTATAGCAGCAGTTGGCAACCTTTTCAAGGTGCAGACTGGATGACAACTGATGTTGGAGGTGAACAGATAGCAGCCGCCACATCTGCCCTCCGTGGCAGTACAAGGAGCGTTCCTGCCACTGCGGTGGAAGGAAGCAGCAGCACAGCAAGGACAGTTTCTGCAACTACTGCTTCTCTCTGTGGCAGGACAGGGAGAGCAACTGCTGCCAAAGCTCCCTCCCTTCCCTGCTGACAAACACCCACAAAGCTCCACTTCCATGGACTGGATCAAATGGTTCCGCAGGCCCTATCTGGCCTGAAGGATATAGATTACCAACCCCTGGTCTATAGCGTGTCCTCCTAGGAAGGCAAAAGTAGCATGAAATTTAGTGAAAACATTGCAAATCAGCATGACTTAATGGCTACCAACCAACTGAAATCTCTTTTTATGAAAATGGCTAAAAAGTACATAACATGTTTAAAATCATTTATTTAAATGTGGTTTCTTGCTTGCTGATTTAAATTGCAATTTACATTATGCTGCAGAAGGTATGGATTTTCTGACATTTATTACTTTAAAATCAAAGCCTTACTACAGTTCTAAAAGTTCTTTCTTTGACCTATTGTGTAACACCAAGTCTAAGACATATTTTATGTTGGAATATTTTATGTTCTCTTTTACAGAATTATATTTTGCAGTTAAAAAGAGACAGACCCAATGGTACAAGGCAGGGATAGGCAACACACAGCATGCATGCCCCAAGCAGCATGTGTAACTGCTTTGTGCGGCATGTGAGCCCTGGTGCTCAATAAATGGAGGCACTGGCATGGAGACAGTGGAGACTCAGCCTCTGGTGGGGTGAAGTGGAGATGGAGGCAGGATGCTGTTGCACGAGCTGTCAGGTGTCATTGCCAAGAGCCTTTTCTGCACTGCTTCCACAGCCTAATTCAGCACTTTGGATTCTGCAGGACCAGAGAAGACCCTGGCTCTTGTTGGTGACACCAGATCTTGCAGGGAGGCTTGAGCCCCCCTGCCTCCATTCTGGTGCCCCAGAGATGCAAACTACCAGCTACACCTCCATGAGATGGGGTCAGAGCAATATTTGGTGTTAGGTTGGGCCTTAACTTGTGGCATGCCACCCAGAAAAGTTGTCTGTTACTAGTTTAAGTCAGGGCTGTCCAAGTGGCAGCCCACAAGGGGCTGAACTGAGGACTCAGCAGGGCTCTGCAGCAGTGCAAAAAGCTGAGGGTGAGCCTAGGGTGCATGGTACAGAGGGGGGTGGAAGCAATCATGAGTGCACAGTGCAGCAGCGAGCACCAGCATGGGAGCAGTGTAGTTGTGAGGGATCTCACAGGCATGTAGTGCACAAGCCCCCACTGATGTGGCCTGACGGGTATACAACCCCCAGGGGCCTAGAAGATGGACAACCCTGGTCTAAGGGATGCTTTCACTAACTTTTAAAGATATACCCTCTATTTTTATAGGTTCCCCCCTAATTTTTAGTGGTGAGTGTCTCAGATATCCATGTGAAAACATTACAGAAAGCATATTTCCATGTTAAAGTAATGTACATGATACCTGAGATTTTGTTCCTGTTTGTTTTCTAAATGGTGGCAAAAGAAATAAAAGACATTTTTCAACTGCAGAAGGCACTTTTTTAGTACATATCATTGTAATACTATGCACAAAACTAGTTACTAAACTTTAATTTAAAAAATACCCATAAAGCTCAGGTAGAGAGGACAGAACATGGCAATAGGTACAGTATGATATAGACAGAAAATCAAAGTTATCTTTGTAAAACACAGAATCATAGAATCATGAAAAAGTAGGGTTGGAAGGGACCTTAGGAGGTCATCTAGTTGTCCAGCATTTCTTAACCCGTGGGTTGCAAAAATATATGAAATAGTCATGAATAAACTTTAAAAATGGGTTCTCTTTTAAAGGAGAAAAACATGGGAAACCATGACTTTTCACTTGCCACCCTGCAAAGGGCTGCTTGGGGCCCCTCATGTCCTTTCCCCCGGCCCCAAAAACTCACCCCTTGCCCCACACACTGTGGAGCTGGGACCTGGGGGCAGTGGGTCAGGAGTGAGGGGCACTGGGTTGAGACTGGCCATCAATGTTTTACAAATGGGTCCTGGTACAAAAAAGGTGGAGAACCACTGATCTAGTCTAAACCCTTGCTCAAAGCAGGACCATCCCTAACTAGATGATCCCAGCCAAACTAGGTCATTCCAGCCAAAACATAATCTAAACATTTTTGCCATAGACAAAAATATTTCAAGAAACTTAATTCTAGTTCACAAACACAGAATGGAGACTCTACATGGACTTGCAGTTAGTACAACTACCTGTTTGTAGCATTCAGAGTAAGAGAAAAAAAAACAGTATTGTCTAATGACATACCACCACAGAAACCCTAGCCCAGAAAAATAACACACTTGCTTTCTTATTTATAAATTAAAAAAAAAGATGTAGGATATCTCATAAGTACTTTAAAGATAAAAGAAATATGTCAGTGCTTACACTTAACTGATATATTCATGTTGTTTAAAGACAAAATAAAAAGATCCTCTTCCAATAGTCATTTAATTACCAAATGTATCTTAGCCTGAGACTTGTGAAAAACATAATGAATAACTACAGGGCATAAATTCCTAAAAGGGACAACAAGAGATCTGAGTTCTGGGTACAGAGAACTCTTTCAGGTGAATGTCTGGCCACTGAAACTACTAATACAAAAGAGAAGCTGACAGCATCCTTGGTTTATCAGTAGTTACAATATGCACACAGGTCATACCTGCATATTAGCTTATGTTGTGAAGATCAGAAACATCAAAGCATTTCAGGCCATCATCACAATCTAGAAGGCACTGCTGGTTTAGAAATATGGTGTAATCATTTTTTAAAAGCCCAGTACTACTTATTTGCACAAGGGAAACCCTAACTGTGAAGTGGTTTTTCCTAGTGTTAAGCCT